GGTTAATACTGCACAGGGAAGTAACTTGTAACATGTAGGTTACTGCTCAGTATCTATATGTTAGCTATCTACTTTCTGAATATCCTCCTACTGATTTTCACTTTAATGATACATTTTAAGGAAATGTAAGAAAATATAAAAATATTCCTTTGAATCATTAACTTGAAAAGCACAAATTCAAATTTGAGTATCAAATATTTTAAAGTTAAAAATATATAGTATTATTTGGTATCTTAAATAATTGGCATTATTTTTATCTTTTCAAGCACTCATTGCTATTATTTGTTTTCACCCATCGACTTTAATACAGCTCCATTTCACTATCATTTACTGAGCCTCTACCTGTTGAAACACACACACACACTGATGGAGGTGTATAGGTACAAAAGAGGGCAAAATAAACCCAGTTAAGAGATGGCAAAAGGAATCACGATGCAGGATGATCCTCAAATGTGGACTGGACTCTGTCAAATACACACTGGGGAGGTGGGGGTGGGGGTGGGGATAAAACCCAGCAATTGCACGTTGCAATCAAAGGCATGAACATGGAAAAGTTCAGGGTTTGTCAGATGATTGAACAGTTGACCCACATGACTAGGACATGGTTTGTTCATGTGTGTGCTGGTCACAGCCAAGGCAAGCCTGGCGGAGTAGGTCGGAGTGAAACTGTGGAGTCTGATCAGTGTATGCATGCCAAGTTATGGGTTTCAATTTTATGCATTATGAAATCAGGAACTATCCAAACCACACTTTTTCATTCTGAATCAAAAGAGAAATAGAAAAAATATTAGCTGATAAGGTTTTAAGTAAAATAAAACAGTTACAAGAACGTACACTAAATGTGTAAGATGATTATTAAATAGGAAGGTGTTGGGGTAAAAAACATCTGGATTAACTTTTAACTAGAAAACTATAGGAGAGAAACACTCGGCACTGAAGGCCAGCTGACTTTTTGAGTAGAGCTATAATCCATGGAATTATACTTTTATTCACAAAGTCTCTACCACTCAGTAGAGGAGCAAATAAGTTGAATGTCTAAAATTAAGTGTGATAAACTAATTGACATCATGGATTATGAGATTAGTTCAAATTTGAAAGGATGGGCAACCAAAAGTCAGCAGGCAAATTCAAGAGGGAGTAAAGTGGTCAAGGGTCAGTTTTAATTTACTTTTATTTTACCTAAAAAGCATTTATATGAACTAATAAATGTAAAGCAATGTATGGGACCAACTATTAGTTTACCTAATCCTCATAGTTATCCTATGGAATAGAGACTATTTAATGACGCCAATTTTATAGTTGAGAAAACTGAGTCCTGAGGAAGTTTTAAAAATGTACTCCGATCACTGAGACGGGTAATTCTCTGGAAGTCCCAACCTCAGGTGATCCGCCCGCCTTGGCCTCCAAAGTGCTTGGATTACAGGCGTGAGCCTCCACGCCTGGCCTAGACAGTTCATTCCCAACCTAGGGTTTGCATTCAATCATTACAAATCAAGAGCCAAAGGTTCCTAATTACTATACTAGGCTACAATTAAAAAGTAGGGGAGTGAGAAGCGAACAGAGGCTGGGGCTAAAGTAAAATTGACAGTTCAGTTTTAGAACAATAGCCGTTCTTGACAGTTACAAAGCTTGGAGTATGGCAACAGAAGTGAAGGACTGAAAAATGGACACAAAGTCACAGGATGTGAGGGAAGACGAAAAGAGTGGTTGATGACTCTCCATTAAGTTCTATGAGGACAGAAAGGCAAATCAGTCCTGACACCATGTCCTCGTTCATTCACAGAGGTGGTTGGCAAATGGTACCAACAAGGAGAGATAAAAATGGAATTCTCCACAACCCTCACACACACACTCTCACACGCACACACACACACACACACAAACACGTGCACATGTACACACATGCATGCACACGTGCATTCAAAAGCACACATCCAAAGGCAACAAACACCTTCTACCTGACAGAGCCTTGGGACAGGCAAGGTCCTCAGAGAGAAGAATTAGGATCGGGTAAAGGAAATAAAGTTGAAGACATGGATTATATGGTAAGTCCTCAATATGGCTGCTAGATACTGGGAAACGGTGACTTCAAGCCAAACAATGTACAGAGGATTCTCAAATAACAATCCTTTCCTTCCATGACATGTTGTTATAATGTTGATGAGCAAAAAACTGGTTTTACTATGTACATTGTTCCACTTAAAGTCACAGCTTCCACTTAAAGGATGTTAAATGACAACTTCCTGTGATCAGTTAAACATTTGAAAACTTTCATTTGTTAGTTTTTTTTTTTAATGAAATAAGCTTTATAATAAACATTGTGTAAATGCCTGGCAGAAAAGACACACAACGGAAAGTGGTGGGAGGCAATGAATAGATTTTAGAAACTTTATTTTGGGGAAAAAAGTACAACTTATGTAAACACTGACAACAGTGTAATATTCTCATCTAATAACCCAGGTAACATCACCTAACAAATACTGCCACTATTCATCAATTCCAAGAAAAACAACTGTCATTTCAGGTAAATTCTTTGTGTCTGTGTTTTCACTGAACAGATGAAACTGCATAAGCCAGTGCTTCTCAAAATATGGTCTCTGAAACAATGGCATCAGCATAACCTGGAAACTTGTTAGAAATGCACATTTTCAGGTCCCATCCCGGGCCAGCTGAATCAGATATACCAGTCCTGCAGTTTATTCTGACGTGTGATAAAGTTTGAGAACTTCTAACCTAAATCAATGTGCGTCTTCCTGCTTAGCTACCTGGAACTGAGAGCCAAATTCAACATTGACCTACAAAGCTTATTTTTAGGTGCTTGTTCACACCTATTTTTCTGCTAATTATAACTGCTTTTTCTTCTTTTCATTCTTCTGCTCTATACAGCATTTAATAAATTATAATCCTTTTGGAGTAAGTATATATTAAACTAACCACCAACACACATTTTTGAGGTCCTACTGAGAATTTGTTTTTAAAAATCTATGACTGTATAAGAATACATGTTAGTAATTTTTACAGATGCAATTTTAGAAGGATAAAAATATATAGTAAATTGTTAAGAAAGTAGATGAGGAAGATGGATTGTTATTTAATTGACATGGTAAAGGGCCCAGCATAGACATTAAAAAAGAAAAAGAAAGAAAATCAAACTTTGGATGAAGCTGATGTATAGTCAGTAAGAATCCACAGATTAGAGGATAGTAGAAAAGAGGCCCATAGCATCATGTAGCTGAAGAGTTTGGTGAAAACTGTAGCGATAATGCTGGGCCATAACAAGACTGCCTATAAGAAGAGTCTGAAGAAATGGTTAAGGAAAAGGAAATGCAATGCATCTAGTGGAAGCTTGGAAAAAAGCTGGGAAACTCAAAAAAGAAAAAAAGAAAAACACAGAAAAGGGGATTGACAGCACTTAAGAAAAGTAAATGTCAGGTCAATCGGATGAGATTCCTCCTGTGTTTTTGAATAGTGTGGTGAGTTAACATTCTATCTGCAACTGTAGACAAAGTCTATTCGGGTTCAACAATGCAAACTGAAAACTCAGAAGCCTTCTTCTTAAAAGTAATATACTTCCAGTTGACCTAGAAATGGTTAAACTGCAAGACCAAATACCATCTTAGGGAGGATGGATGGTGCCTTTATTCATTTTCAGATGTGGAAAAAATGTTTGTCTTTATATGTTTATAATCACCCTAACGTGCTCCTGATAACACCTGAGCAAACTTTCTCTCTGGCTATCACTTCAATAGAAATTCACTGAACAGTAATATTTACTTTGGAATGAGACAGATTTCTGTAAGTTCTTAGGAATACAAAATAAATCCTGAAATGCAAATATTCAACCTTTATGAATAATAAATATATATTTAAAGAATGACATTCATATGGTTTATTTATAACCTAAGCAGGTGTGACTCTTAGATAATCACATTACAGTAAATCCTTTATTGGTAGAAGAAATATTATCAAAAAGTTACTATTAAATTTTAGTAAAAATGCCTCCTAATAATTCTGAGACATCATGACAATTTATATTTGCTTTAGAAATATTAAAGTTTGGATTTAATATCACTATCATTCCAGTAGCAAGAATTTTTAATTAATTTTAACATATCCTATATGCTCAAATTTATCAGATTATTGAGTAAGTTGCCAGAACTATATTTAGAAAGGGCTTCAGAGATAGAATAGATGAGCAAATGATCAGATTTAGAGTAAATGCTTGAAAAATATTTTCTTGTATTGCAATGAGTACAGTTTGCCACCAGAGAGAGCTCAGTCACTGCTTTATTAAAGAGAGTAATTATTTCCTTTCAACTGAATAGAAATTCTCTACCTACCATATCCTAAAAGAAACAAAACTATTGTTTAATTATGTATAATACCCAGAATCAAATACTATAAATGCCATTCTCAGGTTTAGCATTTGAGAAATCATGTCTCTGCTAACAAGAGTGTCAGGGCTGCAGACTGCAAGGGAGATTTCCACTGGGGAAAGGGAGCAGGGCCATTCTCAGGTTTAGCATTTGAGAAATCATGTCTCTGCTAACAAGAGTATCAGTGCTGCAGACTGCAAGGGAGATTTCCACTGGGGAAACGGAGCAGGTTGCATGTTTATAGGCAATTTTCTTGCTCACTAATAGGAATGCTTCTTCACACACTATAAATAAATACTTTATGAAAACAACTCAAAAGATACTTTCTAATAGCATCTTGTTAACTGTAAAGAACTGAGAAAGAGTTTTTAAAGTCATATGATAAACATCATCATGAAATAATCAGTAATAAATGGAACTTGATAAATAAGAACCCGAAATAAAAAGATCTTACTATCTTTTAATTATCTGATTCTCAGTAGGAGGAAATTTTTACTATTAAGCAGGGTCGCTTTATTTAACAAAAATCATACAGCCGTACTAGTGCAATTTAAAGTTAATCAATTTCCAGTCCTTTCTCCTGCCCCCAACCATGATAAGTAAACAAAATGAAAAAACACATACATTCAAGTTTATCCTCAGGTCTTCCTCTTTCAAGCAGAGACAGGTAACAGACAATGTCCTTCAGGTGGATTACTTCTGGGGAACACGCATTTGCAGGAGAAGTCCGGGGAGGAGTGACGGCACCTTTATTCATTCTCAGACCTGGAAAAAAAATTGTCTTTACATTTTGTTAATTATTTACAGCGATCTCCAACAGAAAACAAATGAAGAAAATAAAGAGGTAACACACAGGCTACAGAGAAAATTAGCTGTTTTAGGTATAGAATAACCAAATTCTCTGGAACATCAGTATAGCAGCTAGACACAGCCTGTGGCTGCTGTAAATGAAGGAGAATTCTTTGGGATCCACACACATGGCACTGCTCTGTCACTCGCCCATCGGAGGGTATTCGGGTCAAAATAATATTGCCCTAGGTGAGTTGGTGCACATCTGAATGTGTGAAGACCCACTTTCCTAGCCACCTTTCTCTGCTATGGGTAGTGACAGCTATAAATCAGTTGAGAAGACATTTAAAATGGACCTTTCACAAAATAAAGAAAAAATGTGAGTCTTTCACAATGTAATTTCCCTATTGATACCAAGTAATCATGCATTCATAAAGTTATATATTTGTTTTAAATATTTGCCAGTACCATGAAGAAGACATCCTTTTTAAGCCATCCAGGGATCTGTCCATGAGTAAGAATAAAGAGAACGTAAGCAAAACTCTGGACAAATATGATGGATGTTAGAGGTAAAAATATGTGAGTAGTTTGGTTTTGAAATGGTTCTCACTTTATTTCTGAAACCCATTATCTATGTCTGTTCTATGTCAAGGGTATAGGTTGCTTATTACCTGTCTGGTGATAATCTAACTGAAATATGTTCACAATAACTTGTTAGTTCCATCTTACCCAGAAGCCGCTGAAGTCAGACTGTGTGTATCTAACAAGGCCTGAAGGTAAACCCCAATTATCCCTCGAGGTACATATGGCAGTTGAAGAGGTATTTGGGAGAAATATCTAATGGGTTGAATGGCTACTGGATTCCAAATCAACAAGGAGCTGCTGTAGGGAATAATTTGAACCAAATACAGTTGTAAAAGCCTGTCCTTAGCACAGATCCACCTGGCTGACTATCTCTCACTCCAGTCTAGTTTTTCAGTTTGTAACTTTCCGTGAATACCCATTGTCTCTTAAAGCCATCTCAAGATAACCAGGCATATAATTCAATGTGCTGTGAAATGTCTCAAGTTAGTTTTATCATAGGTGATGTTGTCACTAATAAAGGCAACTATTTACTGAGTGCCGAATATGTGGCTGGAATCATGGTTGGAGCTTTAACACATAGTATCTCACATTATTCTTACATGAACCCTGTGAGGTACAGTGCATAACCCTCATTTTACAGACTAGGAACAGTCTTATAGATTTTAATTTTTCAGAGTTTCACAGCCAGCAAGACAAGTCCATCTTCCTGTTTCTACACGGGTGGCTGACAAGCTATTTTTGTTCAAGACCAATTGTAAACATGTAAGAAAAATAATTTACATCTTAATGCAGCACACACATGCATACACACACACAATCACTAGTGGAATTCAAACTTGCCCAGATATTTTCTTTTCTATATTAACCTATTCCTATTCTGTTCTATTCTTAGAATTTTTCTCAAAGACATCTAAATTGAATTTACTAGCTACACAGGGATCAAAAATCACAGTTCGAAAAAAGACTGGTTGGTATACTTCCATCCTTTCTTTCTTAAATGAAGTCTTACTTATTTCAAATGTGGCTTCATGTTTTACATTAATTCTACCCGTTTATAAAATTATCAAGAGAGACATACATGGAATTTCCCTCTTAATAGAAGTATTAATGCATATCTAACACAAACTAATAGTTATTTAAGAACCAGGGAATTAAAAGAAATAAAAGCAGCAGGGAATTAAAGACAATCCTAAGCTTCAAAAAAAAAAAAAAAAGATGACCAAAATAATTGAAACTAGCCAACTAAAGCTTAGCCAGCTTCAGGAATAAGCAGTTCCAACTTATGATAAAACAAAATTTGGCGGTGACCCTTGACATGACCATAACTTTCAGACTTGGAGAACACAGCACTCGAATTATCGTTGGATAATCCATGACCTAACTCATCCTGCTGATGAGCTAATCCTCTTTTCCAAGGTTTCCCTTTGTGGTACTGAAATGATTTAATCAGCTTGATTTAACTCTTTTATAGAAAAATGCTGAACAAAACAAAAATGAAAGAAAAGAACATGCTGTGACATTTATTTGAAAGAAGTCCAAATACAGTATAGCTCTTCACTTATTTAGAACATGGCCTGATCATTTGTTTATACATACAACTCAAGTACATGGTGTTTAATTATCAGCTTTCATCACACTGAACACAAACAATTGAGAATGTAAAGACTACCTAATTTTGTCATTTCTGTGTGTAATATATAGAATGAACATGAGCATACACAAATAGTTTGTATTTAGCATCACTTTTTAAAAGGAATATGATACTGTACTAAAATTATTTTTGATTGGAAAAATAACATTTTCCATTTTTTATGAAATACTGTTAACTAAATATTTAAAGCTGTATCATGTAATAATTTCATAAAATATGATTAACTGAATATTTAAGGCTGTATCACATATTTAATTATGTCACAGTTTTACATTTAAATAGCTCGAAGCTTATGTAAAAGAAATATGGGCATATATTCCATCTATATGTTGAAGGACTAACCAACTGTTCTTCAAGTACAATAGCAGCCAAATTTGAGAGGTAAAATAGAATCCTCTCCCAATGATTTGCAGAGTACATTGAAGAAGAAGATAAAATGTCACAGACCTTTTATCATTATTACTTGGCAAAAAGAAAACTGTAGAACAGGATTTAATTTTTTAAAGATTTAATTCTTTTTAAAAAAAGTTTGAGGCTCACCACAAAACTGACACTGTACAGAGATTTGAACACCGCTTGCCATCTTTCCTACATTTGCTTTACTAAAGTCTTTCTTGCTTCAAATAACTCCCTTTGTTTCACATTAATTCTACTTTTGTTTACAAAGTTATTACCCACCACACATGCATATTCTTCCCTACTGCCAACATTTCCCACCAAAGTAGTACATTAGTTACAACTGGTTAAAATACATTGACACCTCATTACTATCCAATCTCTATAATATACATTAGGGTTCTCTTTCTTTGGTGTATATTCTATGAGTTTGGACAAGTGTATAATGGCATGTGTCCACCATTATAGTATCTTTCAGAGAAGTTTCACCGTCCTATAATATTTCTACTCCGTTTATCTCTGCTCTCTCTTATTTTCTCGCTAGTTTAGCCTTTCCCATAGTGTCATAGAGTTGAAATCATACACACTGGCTATTTAGACTGACTTTTTTCTCTTACAAAAATGCATTTACGTTTCCTCCATGTATTCTTATGGCCTCAAACCTCATTTGTTTTTATCACTGAATGACATTGCATCGTCTGGATGTACTACAGTTTATTCATTCAACAACATAATTAAATTTTGAGGTGTTTAATTAATGAAAAAGCTCACAGGTTTATTCCTGCTCCTACCACCTCCCCAACATGAGCCCACTTTCTCTCATGTTTCTTTATGTTTTCATTTACTTTTCTGAAAGCAGCCCCTAGTCCTCAGTCTAACTCCACAGGGGTTATTTTTATACCTACTGTACCCTTTAAATTTTCTTTTTTGCCCTTTCCCTAAATCTGGCTGGAGTTCACTACTTATCTTCCTCCACTGCAGTTCACTACCCTGAAGAAGAGTCCTTTATCCTTTTCAGCAGTTTGCGCCAATCTCATGGTTATTCAGAAGCTTAGGAGACATGTAAGCCACCAAGAAGTTGCAATCCTGGCTTCTTGACTACAGCTGAGATGGTAAAATGATAACATCAAATAGTAACTGGGATCCTCTCCAGCAGCAATGGCCTCTGGTGAGGAAGCTCAAAAGTCTATTTTTCATTAACAAAGGCCAATGTTACCCACCCAGTCATCAGTGAAATTCTCTCTTTATTACTGAAATGAAACACAAAGCTGGACAAAATAAAAGGGTTGGTTTGTTTGGTTTTGGTTGCAAGCGGTCAGAACTAAATATTGCTTCAAAGCTTCAGGGATAAATATTGCAATTGACACTTAAAGTAGTATAACCTGCAGATTCTTCTACTTGCCCAAGGTTATACTATGTTAAATATTTCATCACAGAAGTGAAGCAAATGTGTGTGTATAAAATCTATATATACACATCTATATATGTATGTATAGATTACCATATATAACAAAGTACAAAATAAAGTGAAAACTAAGCATTGTAATTAGAGTGCATTAGTCTTACTAGGAATAATTATCTTGCACTTAGCATTTTTTCCCTATTAAAATAATTTCATTATATGTACACATACATATATATAAACATATTCTTTTCTTCAAAGCTTTAGTTACAAAAAGTAGTTAGCATTAGTCAAATGGAACGTTGCCTACTATTATCGTGTTTCTAAGCACATGGTTTTCATTATAGTCCAATCTAGACAGCTCACTTCTTGAAACAATAACCTCAAAAGGTGTGTTTAATAGATAATTTTAAGTCCAACCTTGGGTTCAATTATTAGTAGACAATTGAAATAAGCTTTGGGTACCTGTTAAATTAGTGCCTCTGCTCCAGTTTGTTTTATTTTCAAACACTTGCATTTCAGATAATGAAAACAGTGACATTATCTCTATTTTTTAATGAAATAGTCAAAAGCAATAACATGAATTACATTTCTTAATGTATAAGGCAGTAAAACGCTCTAGCAGTTTCACCTTTTCTTTTAAAATATTAGTTCATTTTACAGAAATATATCAGATTTATCACATAGTGCGATTATATTTCCAGCATCCATATTATTGAGCATAATGATAGCATAATCAAGATGAGTTGATATTAGTATCATACACTTCATGATTTTTACACTTAATCTTTCAACTATGCTTGTTGTAGTTTACTTATATAATAATTATCTTTTATTCTTTATGCTTATCCAAACCGGCAGCAAAATGAGGTAGATGGCATTTTCAGTGAATGAGAAATGTAATAAAGACAGTGATTCCTTATAAAGAGAAGACAGATTGTG